CTATGTCTGCGTTCTAAGGATTTCCTGGAGCTGGACTCCAAAGAAGTTTTAAGTGGGAAGAGGTCAGAGATTCATGCTGAAACGAATTTCTGAAGAACCCCATTGACTAAAGCGGAAAGAGAGATGGTCAGTCCAGTGAGAGTTCGTAGCTCGCATAGACACACACACACACACTGGAGCCCAAACCCTGGGGACAGCATACTCGCCACCACTGTTAAGTAGCATGTGGGTATGTAGTGTGCACACTTGGCGCCCACTGCATAAAGAATCTTTTGATAGTACAGTGATGTGTGTTTGTTTAAAATGTGAGCCACCACCTCAGTGCCCAGAAGTCTGGTGTTTATTCAGTCTTAGTGGGCTTTTGGCACACCGAAGAGTTCAATAGTTCACGGGGCAGTTTGACTAACAAAGAGGGGAGTGAGGGACAAGCAGAGAAATGCATAAAATTCTCCTGGAGCAGGTTGGACAGAGTTGTTTCTCCTCGGATGGATTGCGTTTTGACCGAGCAGATGATGTGATCTTGATTGGCAGGCATCTTCAGGCTTGATTCCAATCTTCTTGAGCTGAGGGCACACACAAGTGCTGCTTCAGTGGAACGAGTTCCCGTCCAGTTCACGGCCCCTTCCATGCATATAGGAATGCTTTTTGGAAAAAAAAAAAAATTCTGTCCAAGCAAACAGTGTTCTTGATTTGAAACACTCACAGGAGCATGCCAGTCCTGTAGGTGGCAGTAGTATGTCAGTCAGGTCGAGAATACCATTAAGAGCACGTTAAAAACGCCAGCATGACCAGAAAAATGTCAAACACAAGGATTCACGTGTGACCGACGACGAGATCGAAATACTGTGAAATTAAAACTGAAAACATGTTAACAAATTAGCAAAACGTGTGATACTGTGATGTCAGAGCTTTCGATAACGTGTTTTCCCCGTCAACATTGCAACACTGAATTTTAAAAATGTCTCCACATTTGGGCTGTTTTGTTTTTTAGCAAAAGGCCATTTTCATGTAGACGGACTAACGTAAAGAACTAAGTTTTTGCAAAAAATATCCGTGGACAAGGGCCTAAATGGGCCAGTGTTTTCATTCATACTTCTTTAGACAATCACTATGTTCCAGTTGAAAGATTAGCTGGATACGGAGCATTTTGGGGCACTTTTGCATCCTCCTGAGAATGGCTGTACTTTTTGGAAGGCATATGTGCTGAATTTGATGCGTCTCCTTCTCTGCGACAGCAATCCCATAATTCTGTTCACTGGACCAGAGTCCCATGAAGGTTTAAAGAAAGGCTGAAAAACAATCCGTCACTCACCACAAGTCAGTCGCCTGTCAATTGTATTTGTACAATTGTACCACAAGTCTTTAACACAAGTCATCCAGTCCGTTTAAAGGTCCTCTACAAGGACCTTCACATAGGCAACCAATGTAGTGATGCTGAAACCTTAATTAAAGTCAGACAATTTCAATGAGGGGGAGCACAATCACTGGATTATTTATTTTTTCAAGAATGAAATGTGATTTTGTAACATAATTAAATCTGAAAGACAATCTCACAGGGGTGTTTTGATTTAATTCTATCGAGCTGTTTGTCTGCAAAGCTAAAGCCTGTTTTATATTAACCATGTATTAGCCATTAGCAATGAGCATTGAGACATGGTTAATATAAGGACATATTAACCATGTGTTAGCATTAGGTGTACTGATTTACAAACCCGTTGGTTTCCAGCAGCAGTGGCTCATGGTCGTAGATTTTTTAGTGGGGCAGGGCGACACTAATAACCACACAGCCTCAAACAAAGTTTGAGGGGAAACAAGGCCACTGTGGTACACGCGCATTTCTGAGGTACCGACATTATCAATACCATAATCCCCCGCTTCCTCTCCCACACTGTGCGATCTAACAAAAGACATGGTTCTGTACATCATAAACACATCACTGTCTCTACTTATAGTTTGCCATTGTTCATGGAAATACTTTCCATTTCGTTCCTATAAAACAAAGCCTTGTCCGAGGCACGGAGTATTTTTAAACTATCCCAATATGGCAACCCTGTAATTAACTTGTCTTGTCCACTGCTCCTCCCCGAAGCATGGGGCAGCATGAATCTTACCCCGTTGGGCCTCTATTAGCACTTGTTGCAGTTTCCATAATGACTCCATGGTGCTAAATGGAGCAGCGAGCATGCTGACCCTCGATTGTGCAGCATCTGGAAAGGTGAGCAGATTACCACATCGGCTTATATCTTGTCAAATAGCAAACATGTTTTAAGTTGTTGATCACTCACAAAAGGAATGTTAAAAAGTTGAGAGTGAGGACTTTATGAAGAGTAACCTTTATTGAACGGTTGGTTATATATGGTTAGGCTCCACCCACCTGCCTGGGTGCACGAGCTGCCACTGGATTTCAGACTGGTAGTGGAGGCTGTAACTTCTAAAATAAAAAATAGGCCGTAGATGTTCTGAGCAATCATGCCTAAAACATGTTAGTAGCATAGTTTAAAAAAGAAAATCTAGTTTGAGGAGTGCCTTTGGGACAACTCCAGCCAAATTTAACCAAAGGAATGTCAAATGTATGTCCAATTATACCTTGCCTCTAAATGACCTTATTATTCTGCATGGGAGTCTCATCCAGCAGAGACCCTGTGTGTTTGTTTAAAGCTTTCCCCTTTTTCTCTTTCCTTTTTCTCCCAGCAGCTTGTGGTCGCTAACCTCAGGCACTACCCACATGTTGGCTCGGGTGAGCTCTGACAGTGAGCCTTTCTAAATTACACCTCCTCAATACGTCCAGACGTATGAGAAACGTTTTTAATGGTCTGGTCCAAATAGAGCAGACCAAACGCAGTGTTGTTGGGTATTTTTAAAATCTCAGTTTGAAAGGGTGGGCAATAGTGCACAGCGCTCCGATTCGGAAACCCACACTCACAGAAGTGCTGATGTTTAGTCTCTGCGGTTGCTGCTTGGGCCCTGTAGACTGTCTGTGGCCTTTTTGTGGATTGCTAGGTTTCCATAATGCCACAATATATAGCAAAGGACATGAAGACCCATCATTCTCACACACACACACAAAACATTCTCAGGCTAACATCAACATCCTGCAACAAACATGGTTCTCCAACAAGCACATTCATTCATCAATGTCTACCAACCACACACCACACTTCTCCCAACAGGCACTTTCTCAAACGAAACATTCTTTCTCACATTCAGTGTTGTCCACCAGTGCTTAACATTTGTCCAACTCACAAAATCTCACAATAAACACAAACGTTCTCAAGCAAACATTAGCTTTCTGTAACAGAGTTGTCCAACAAACATCGTGTTCTACAATTTAACATTCTCCTAAACCCAGATTCTCCAAACAAACACCAACGTTCTCACATCATGACTACTGTCATGGTTATTCAAACATGTAATGCTTTGTTCTCCAATGTGTTGTTCTGGGTCTTCCTACCTACATTTACATTTGCGGAATCTGACAGACGCCCTTATCCAGAGTGACTTCATTTCATTTATACAACTGAGCAGTTGAGGCTCAAGGGCCCAGCCGTGGCAGCTTGGTAGCGCTGGGATTTGGTCTCATGCCCGTCCCAATCAGAAGTTCAATGTCGTAACCACTGCCCAAAAATGATGATATGATGTGTGAGGCATTTTACTGGCATGGTGTGTTCCACCTTAGAGTGAAAGGAGTGGGAGTGGTCTGTTTCAGAATGACTCTGTTGCATCCACATAGTATGGCTCACTGGATGTTTTGATGAGTATGAAAATGATGTCAATCATGCGATATGACCTTCACCCTCAACACCTATGAGAAATTTGGAGCAATATGTTAGGTCTCTCTACCACCATCACCAAAATACCAAACTGAGAGAATATATTTCGGCTTATCCCTCCAGTAAAGTTCTACATGCACTGAATCTGTTCTGGAGACTCATGGTGGTCCAACACCTTAACTCACTAAAGGCTTCAAGCAACCTAAATCCATGATTCCTTTCTAATGAAGTTCATTTTGGACTCGCACGACATGGAGGACAAAGTATGAACAGTTGGTGCCTTTCCAAGTATTTCTACATTTTGATGTACAGCCCGACAGGTTTCTCTAAAACTATGCACTCTTGTTTTAATTGTCTCTTTGTGTCTGTGTCTCAGCCTGAGAAAAAGCTATTTTAGAACTGGTTAGTTTGGTATGTGTCGAGTTATACGATCCAACGTCTTTCCATTTGTGCTGTTTGAGTTGCGTTGCAGGCTGGGAGTCTCCGAGTGAGGTCGATCAAGTGTTTACGTAAAAATATTAGGCCACACCCACTGAGCAGTTCTCAGATTAGTGAATTCATGTAGTATTTTAGCACATTTATACCTTTTGTTTTTGAGTCTGGGTTTGCTGGATGTTGTTTAGAACACACTAGTGTTCGTGTCGAGTAGAATTGGAGTTTTGTAGAGTGCTGTATAATAGTGTGATTGCTTTATAAAATGCCTTTAATTCTTAACACTGACACATGACTAATGAAGTGGTGGAAGTTCCTGAGGCTTGCCCTAGGTGGTACTAAAGGCAGGCAGAGATTTTATTGAGACCACCAAGGCCGGCTCTAAATTTCCACTAAACTTTAGTGTGTTGTCTTCTCTTTCAATGTTTGTTTCTCTTGTTCCTGTCCCATTCTCACCACTTGCTTGCTGGTAGAAAAAAAAATGCTGTGTCAGTCTGTACAAGATTTGGGGGAAAAAAAAACTTGTTTTTGAAAATTTCGGATGCAATTTGCGGAAACATTTTTTTTGCTGGTGTTGAGGGGCCAGGTGAGGTTCTCCTACCTCCATAAAATTTGGTGCTCTTGACGATCTCCAGAGTATGTTCGAGTATGCCATTGACGTTCAGCCGAGAGTGGTCGCTTTTTTTCTCTCCTGAAATAAAAAGCATCTCTTGTGTCCTGGAGGGACTGGCTAGTGGCCATGTGAGGTGGTCTACTCTCATAGGTGTATTTAGCTCTGTATGTTCCTGTACGCAGTGGGGCAAGGTGGTTTAGTGGTTAGAACATTTGCCTCGTGCCTCCAGGTTTGAGGGCTCAATTCCCACTTCTGCCCTGTGTGTGTTCAGTTTGTATGTTCTCCCCACCCCACCCCGGATAAATAACCTCAACCAGGCGCTTCCTGTAGCTGTGGATCAGACCTGCACATTGTTCAGGAGGAATTTGAGCCCGTTCTTCCTGGCAGAACTGCTTTAGCTCGGTCATTCTTTGGACGTCTCATGTTTATGGCTCTCTTCAAGTCATTCCATAGCATCTCTATTGGGTTGAGGTCTGGGCTCTGACTCGGACACTCCAAAAGGCGGATTTTGTTTTTCTGAAGCCGTTCTGTTGTGGACTTGCTCCGGTGTTTTGGGTCGTTGTCCTGTTGCATCACCCAACTTCTACACAGTTTCAGCAGACGTACAGACATTCTCACATTATCCTGAAGAATTGTCTGATATACTTGGGAATTCATCTTCCCCTCAATGATTGAAGCTGGCCCGGCCCTGATGCAGCAAAGCAGGCCCAAATCATGACGTTTCCTCCACCATACTTTACAGTTTGGATGATGTTTTCATGATGATACGCCGTGCCCTTTTTATGCCAGATGTAGTGCTGTGTGGTTTTTCCAAATAGTTCAATCTTAGTTTCATCAGTCCACAGAACATTTTGCCCGTACCGCTGTGGAGTGTCAGTGTGCTCTTTTGCAGACTTCAGGTGTGCAGCAATGTTCTTTTTAGTAAGCGGTGGCTTCCTTCGTGTTGTCCTGCTGTAGATACCCTGCTGGTTCAATGTTTTGCGTATTGCAGACTCATGAACAGAGATGTTAGCCAGTTCCAATGATGCCTTCAGATCTTTGGCTGTCATTCAGGGTTGTTTCTTTACCTCATTGATGAGTCTTCGTTGTGCTCTTGGTGTCATTTTGACTGGGCGCTTAATTCTTGGTAGAGTAGCAACAGTCCCAAAGTGTCTCGATTTGTAGAATATTTAAACTGTAGACTGGTGAATTTCTAAAGTCTTTGAAATCACTTTGTGACCCTTGCCAGCTTTATGTAAATCAACTATTCTTGATCGTAGATCCTCTGAAAGCTCTTTTTGGCGAGGCATGGCTCACATAAGCATGTGTTTCTTGTGCAGAGCAAACTCCAAAAGTTTGCGGGGTTTTTATCAGTCAAAGTAGCTGTAGTCCACACCTCCAAACTTATTTTCTTAACCAGACTCCAGGTGTGCTGAAACCCGACTCCAATGAGCTTTTTTAAATTCATTAACTCAAGGGTTCACATACTTTTTCCACAAGCACTATGAGGTTTTTTTTGGTTGTTCTCAATACAGACATGAAAGATCAGAATTTTTTTTTGGTGTTATTATTTGAGACGCATTATATTGGTCAATACCCCTGACTTGGATGAAGATCAGATCACATTTTATGACAAATTTATGCAGAAAACCATGAAATTCCAAAAGAGTTCACATACTTTTTCTTGCCACTGTATATAGGATAAGCGGTACACAAAATGGATGGATGTTCCTGTACGCGTTTATGTTGTGCATCAGTGACGCAGGCTATAATTCTCTTTTCATGCTAGCTCTAAAAAAAAATAAATAAGAAATTATAAAAACTTCCTTGATATTTCTAAAAATGTATCACCAGAAGCCAAAGCATAGATACTGTATTATATTTCCCTTAATAACTTAAGTGTTGGGGATGAACTGAAGTGTTTGTTCAGCAGGTACAGACTTAAATTAGACCCTGGGACAGCAGTCAGAACTTCATTAGGCCTGGCTTGACTGCATGCAATAACATTCTCTTCCTCCCTCTCCAGTTGTGCCCCCCAGCTGAAGGAGCAGCCTGTGCTGTGTAATCTCCCCGAGGAGTCTGAAGAGTGTTTAACTGCTCCCAAGTATAAGCGGGATCTGGTGCATAAGCTGAAGGTGTTGAGGCAGGAGTTGTCTCAGCAGCAACCACAGGCTGGCCACTGTCGCATCGAGCTCTGTAGAGATGAGATCTTTGAGGTAAGATGTTAATCAACATCTGACCATCCGATTAAAGAACTCAACAGTTGCTCTTTAAACCCTGTGTGCCTTACCACAGCTCGTCAGTTGGCACCTTAACAATGCTCTTCTGTTCCTTCACACAGATTTAGCTCTTTATCGCGGCTTTCTAACACTTTCGTACATTTTCTGATCTTTAACCTGTCTACCTCTTTTGCTTCTTAATTATTCTCCTCGATAAGATTTTCTCCTTAAACCTTCAGCACCTTGTCCAAGCTCCATAAACTTTCTGCCCCTTGACAGATTCTGAAACCTTTGCATCTTTAAAATGTCAGGATCTTAATATGTCCCCTTAAACCATAAGCTCCTTAAACCTTTAGCGTCGTAACGCGGCTCGTTAAAGATTGTGCTCCTCAGCATATCAACTCCATAAATGCTCGATTCCTTAACACATCTGCAAAACCCTCAGCTCCATAAACTTTCTGCTCCTGAACGCAGCTTCTTACCATTTTGCACCATAACATCGTTTCCTAATTTGATGTGGCTTAAACCTCCTTCTGCTCATTAGCTAAACCTGCATCTTGCTAAACGTTCAGCTCCTTAAACCTTCTGCTCTGTAATGCAGTTCCTTTAAACCTGCGTCTTCTTAATGCAAGAACATGGAAACATTTTGCAAGAATGATTAACCGGATTTGAAAAAGAACCAAACTTTTGAATATGTGGTGTTTTTTTTTTTTTCCACCGTTTTAGACGTACCTGTGTTCACTGCAGCTGTAACTTTAGCTGGAACACGATTAGCTTTTCGCTTTGGCGTTGTTAGTATTGCCAAAGCAAATACTAATACTATTACACCAATATTTACGTTTGGATCATCTTCATTGTAGTGACGTCATGACGTCATCAATCTCCCGGGTCAAAAAATAATAATGAAATAAGTAAGGAATCGTAGTGCCGGTATACCGGCCTGAATGGGGATAACGTTTACACTGTAAAGTCGCTATATCAGCGTTACGGGGATTTGGCGTAGACGACCAAGCCGATATTTCGTCCTTACGGGAATAGATCAAAGACGGGCAAGCCGGTTTTTCGGCCTTACGGGGTAAGAGGGTTAAATGTTAACAGTAACTCAGAAACATAATGTTGATGTTCATCAATATGGCAGAAGCCATGAAGGTTTAGTTTACTAATGCTCAGTGTAGTTACCTTTTCACCTTGACTGTGATGGTAAATTGTCAAGAGATGTTGATCTTCTTTTGTTTCTGCTCCCAGTATACCAGACTAGTTATTAGTTAGTTACAGTGGTGCTTGAAAGTTTGTGAACCCTTTAGTATTTTCTAGATTTCTGCATGAATATGACCGAAATCATCATCAGATGTTCAAAGAAGTCCTAAAAGTTGATGAAGAGAACCCAATTAAACAAATGAGACAAAAATGTTATACGTGGTCATTTATTTATTGAGGAAAATTATCCACCATTAAACCATGTTAATGTAATCCAATATTACATAATTCTATCTACTTTTAGGACTTCTGTGAAAATCTGATATTTTAGGTCGTATGCATGCAGAAATCTAGACAATTTCTAAAGGGTTCAGAAACTTTCAAGGACCATTGTAGCTTATGTACAGCATCTAGAGTTTAGTGCTGTCTACCAAGACTAACTTCCTGAATGGTGAGCATATTGTTTGCTTTGTTTTTTTTTTTTTTTGTATCGAACGCACAAATTCACAAGTTTCAATTTAATACATCGTAAATATTGTGATCAATTTTGAGCAAAAGTGAGGAAATACAGTGCTCTCCACGCTGGTGTGGCTCCTCAGATGCTTCTCCCGCTGCTCCCCTCTAGAATACACTGCTGGAGAGTCGAGTTTGCGTTGTGTAAAGCTTGGAAACAGTCGAGGGGTTACGTAATTCTAATCAAGTGCTATAAACTTATGCTCTCGGTTCTCATTTTCGAATGTGCATTCTTTTCTTTCCCCTCTTTCCCCTCTTCCTCCCCAATGTTCTTTCTTTTCTCCATGGACATCTTTACAGCTGCTTGGAGAGCCTGGAGTCGGATATTTATAGCTGTCCGGGGAGGTTTTCAGCATGTTTTGTTAGAGAGAATTGAGATCCGAGTGTTTCGTATTGTAGAATAACTTGTATGGTAAATACAGATTAAACAGGGTGGAATGATACTTCATGAGACATACATAAGCAGTGAATACAAGAAACAAATATTTTTAGATAATTTACATAGCTAGCTGAACACTGTCTTTTGTCAACTGTCTTGGAGAGCATTACTTAATCTGTTTGTGTGTGTGTGTGTGTGTGTGCAGGAGTCCTATCGGCAGGTTATGAAGATGAGGCAGAAGGACTTGTGGAAGAGGCTGATGGTGAAGTTCAGAGGAGAGGAGGGGCTTGATTATGGGGGCGTGGCCAGGTAGAGTACATCTATACATGCTGTCAGTCATCTGGCTGTTTAATGTTTTACGCAGCAGTAAAAATAAAGGCCACATGATTCGTACTAAATATCATCAAATATGTTTCTCTACTTCTGTGAGTAGTTTCACAAGTTCTATATTATGTTTTGTGTTTATGCAAATATTTGGGGATGACCCGTCTGAGCTTCTGTGTGACCTCTGCATTAGAGAATGGCTGTACTTGTTATCCCACGAGATGCTCAACCCGTACTACGGCCTGTTCCAGTACTCGCGTGATGACATCTACACACTTCAGATCAACCCCGATTCTGCAGTCAACCCAGTGAGTCTCTCGCACACACAGAAAATGGAAACGTTGCAAAATAAAGACAATACTCACACTATACTGAGTAGAATAGTAGGGGTATAACCCTGGGGTCGTGGCAAATTTCTCCCATTGGCCCTTATATATTATGGCCCCCTAATAATCTCCATCCTTGAATTGCCTACATCATTCTCCTCTCCACCAATAGCTGGTGTGTGGTGGACGTTCTGGTGCACTATGGCTGCCGTTTTATCATCCAGGTGGATGCTACACACTGGTGGTGGCTGAGGAGACCCAACCCCCTCCCCACACACACACACACACAATTTAAAGCGCTTTGAGTGCCTAGAAAAGCAC